CTTGTACCTAGTCTGAATCCCAGAAGCCATGGAGTACCATTGCTGTTGCTGTGCCTAGGGCTCCATCAGTAAGGATCACATTGCAGGATGAGGGCCAAAGTATATTCTCCCCTCCCTCGCAGCAAAGACAGTGCCTAATGATGTAGGGAAGGACTCAGAAAAAATGCTGCTCTGATATCAATGCGTGGGGAAGCTGAGGAATGTGGTGATAAAGAACTGCTGAGCGGTTGTACTAGGGTGTTTCTTTGCATGTTGTCTATGGTGGAGGAAAACATTTGGGCCTGATAGAGCTGCTCTTCTTTGGAACTGGGTGTACTAGTCACAATTTGTATTATATTTCCACTGATAAAGGGTGAATCAATGGTTACATAGATGTTTTATACAGCTGCTTTATGTTTTAAAACATGCAGATGTTGTAAGTTTTATGCAGGAGGATTATGCAGCACTGGCCCACACCTGTAGGAAGCAGACCAGAAAAGCCAAGGCTGAAAACAAACTCAAACTGGCTACAGGAATCAAGGACAATAAAAAGTCCTTCTTCAAATACGTAGGATGTTGGAAAAAAAAACCAGGGCAACATTGGACCCTTTCTGAACCAAATGGGACAGCTGACAACTGACACCCAGGAAAAAGCTAATCTCAACAATTAGTTTGCATCAATTTTTCACCAGCACAAGGGGATCACGCTGCCTGACAGGATGCAGGACTACTAGGGTAAGAGCAAACATACACCCATAATTGGCGGAGATCTTTTGAGGGAAAAGTTTGGGAGGCTGGACATTCGCAAGTCAGCTGGCCCAGACGGAATGCACCCAAGAGTGCTAAAAGAGTAGGCTGACATCATAGCATGACCAATGGCAAGGATATTTGAAAACTTGTGGTGCTTGGGAGAGGTTCCTGAAGTTTGGAAGAAGACCAATGTGGTGCTTATCTTCAAGAAAGGAAGGAAGGAAGATCCAGGAAGCTACAGGCCAGTCAGTTTGACCTCAGTCCCTGGAAAGATCTTGGAAAAAATCATCAAAGAAACCCATCAACAGGCTAACAGAAGGTGACATTCTGAGATAGCCAACATGGCTTCATTGTGGGTAGGTCTTGCCTGACCAACCTCATTTCCTTCTATGGACAGGTGATGTATCACCTGGACAAAGGATAAGAGATAGATGTCATATATTTAGATTTCAAAAAAGCCTTTGATTTGGTCTCTCATGATGTCCTCATGGTAAAATTGGGGAGCTTCGACCTTGACAACCTTATGGTCTGATGGCTGAGGAACTGGCTCTGTGGTTGGACCAAGAGAGTGGTAGTTGATGGAACTGAGTCAACATAGTGCATTGTAACCAGTGGCATCCCCCAGGGCTCAGTACTTGGACCACGACTTTTTAATATATTCATTAATGATCTGGATTCGGGCATCAGAAGTGGATTGGCTAAGTTCACAGATGACACCAAATTAAGGGGAAGTACGGTCATGCTAGAGGATAGGCTGGCAATTCAGGCCGACCTGGAGAGGCTCACAAAGTGAACAAATCAAAACCTGATGACATTTAACATGGAGAAATGCAAGGTGCTCCACCTTGGGGGGAAAAAACCACGTCATACTTACAGGCCTGGCAGTGCTACACTCACTAGCACCGTGACTGAAAGAGACTTGGGGGTCATGATCAACCACAAAATGAACACGAACCACCGATGTGATGCCGCAGCTGACAAAGCAAATAAAACTCTGGCTTGCATCTATCAATGCATTTCAAGCAAGACCAAAGAAGTCATTCTCCTACTTTACCTGGCCTTGGTGAGGCCACAGCTGGAGTATGGCATTCAGTTCTGAGCTCCAGTTTAGAAAGGACATGGAGAAGCTTGAAAGAGTTCAGAGGAAAGCCACGTGCATGATTAGAGGTCAAGAGGGTAGGCCTTATGAGGAGAGGCTGAGAGGCATGGGAACTCTTCAGCCTGGAGAAGCAAAGGCTCAGGAGTGACCTGGTGGCAGCCTATAGGTATATAAGGGGTCTGCATTAGGAACTGGGAGAACCAGGGCACCCCACTTCAGAGCAGACTCAATTAAGCAAATGCGCTCTTCATGTGAGCTGACACACACTGTGCTGTGCCACGTGCAGTTGTATAAGCAGAGAAATGTGCACCAGCATGCAGAAAATGATGTGGGTACACTTTTGAACTAAAGCACCTTCTACATGTTTTTGTTCAAAAGCATGCTGCTGCCATTTTCTCAGCACTGACGTGCATTTTGCCGCTTATACAACTACAAGCGATGCAGCACCAGGCTCTTTTCAAAGCACCCAGCGCTGCAGCGCTTACATGTGTAAAAATGCCCCCTGACACCAGCTGCTGTGCCTCACATTTGATCTAAGTCATAGTTATAGAGAAGTAGAGCTGGAAGAGACCTCCAGCGGTCATCTAGTCCAGTGTTTCTCAACCTTTTTTGTACCAGGACCCATTTGTAAACAACAATGGCCAGTCCCAACCCAGTAAACAGTTTAAGAAGAAAATAGCCCCCTGGCCCTGCTGGTGCCCCTCACTCCTGACCCGCTGTCTCCCACCCTCAAGCCCCAGCCCCCCCAGTGCATGAGGCAGGGAGTGGATGTGTTGGGCAAGGGGTAGATGTGTGGAGCAAGAGGCTGTGTGTGGGGCATGAGGGGCCCCAAGCAGACCCTTGCAGGCTGGAACTCGGTCAGCCTGCAAAGGAAAACCCGTGGTTTGTACATTTTTCTCCTTTAAAGGAGAGTCCATTTTTAACGTTGTTGATCCATTTTGAAAGCCTGTTTGCAACCCTTTCATATATTCTTGTGACCCAATTTTGGGTCACGACCTATGGGTTGAGAAAGACGGATGTAGTCCAACTCCCTGCCTGAAGCAGGATCATCCCTATACAACCATAATCTAAACTCTACGTAAGACTACCCTCAACCCTGACACAACACAGACCTAACACCCTAGCCTGCCACAGTTAAAGCAGAGGAACCACAGCAGCCAATGTCCTGCTTCTATAAAATGTTGTCAATATACACATCTGTAAAGGATAATAACTAACTAGTGTATTTTCCCTCTAAAGACAGTACAGGACACAGCACTGTAATGAAATTGCTTTCCTTCTGTGTTCCATTTCATTATGCAGTTTTGATTTACCTGAACATGCGGCAGGTCCGTGAGAGCGCTTACCATCCAACTGTGAATAATGCGCAAAACTTCTTCCCTTCTTCCAGCTTCCTTGTCCCCTCCATGGACATTCTGAAGTGCTGCTAATGCATTTGTCTTCCATTTTCCTTCTACCTGGTCATCTCTTTCTCTACAGTCTCCTTTTAGTCACACATGCCCATTTAAATCTCCTTAGAGCACTTGGCTTGTCCAGCTGCAAAATTTACTTGGACTGCAAACTTTTGAGTTTTGATGGGGTGCCAAGTGTGCATCTTTGGCTCCAGAACCCATCCCGAAAGAGAATTTTAGTTCCTGCGTTTAGTCCTAAGAACTGGAATACATCACAGCAAATTACACTGTGACTGCAGGTCTTCAAAACTTTGAAGGCATGTTGTATTTGATATTTCCGTTTTTTCCCCCTGTCCAGGATAACAGTGGCCAAAAGGAGAGAGTCTGAGAGAGTTCATTTTCTAATGACTTTAAGGAGGTCAGGAGGGTGTGTGTGGGGGCGGGGGGGAGGTGGTGCAGGAGCTTTATTTTAATTATTAGATAGGTTGCTTATTTTAGTATTAGTAGGGTTGGAGCAGTAGCTTAACTGGGGTGGGAGTAGGAGGGGCACCAGTCCTGGGTGCTGATTTAGAGGGCACAGTGCAGCGAGCTGGCCTCAGCAGCCAGGCAGGGAGGACAGAGCTGGCTCCAGCAGCAGTGGCAGTCCCAAGGGTAAGACAAGACTCTCCAATGCTCTGCCCCCTCTCACGACACAACTCCTCCTCCCCCTTCCCTGCCTAGGGTGCCAAAATCATTTCTTACCCCTCTGGGTTGGAGTGTTGTAGCCACGATTGGAAGGTGGTTTGGGTAACAGAAAGTGCTGGGAAAAACCTCCCTTCGAAACCCATTCCAGATTATGGTAACTCTCACTGTACAGGAGTTCTTCCCGATGTCTAATCTAAATCTGCTCTGTCAGGTTGTGGTTGTTTTTTCTAGTAACTCCAAGGAGTGCCCTGGTAAATAGAGCATCTCCTATTTCTTACTGTCTCCCCTTGACAAATCTGTAGATGGCCACTAGATCCCCTCTCAGCCTTCTCTTGTGAAGGCTAAAGAGATCGAGGTCTCTCAATCTCTCCTTGTAGGACATTACCTGCAGGCCCCTAACCATCCGTGTAGCCCTCCTCTGGACCCTCTTGGTTTTCCACATCCCTCTTGAAGTGTGGCACCCAAAACTGAACGTGGTGCTCCAGCTGCGGCCTTACCGGTGCCGCAAAGAGGGAAAGCATCACCTCCCTACACCTGCACAAGTCAGCATTTGGTCCAGCATTTGGTCTTCTGTGCTACGCAGTTACATATGATTTTCTTTTCATATAGAGCCTGTCAAAGATATTTATGCAAAAGAGATGGACAAAGTCAAGAAAGAAGCAATGAGTGCCATTTCATTGATGCCATTTTGTCATAAGAAAATGAGTGAGACAGACATTCTCCTGTGCAAGTTCAGGTTACCACCGTTAGCCTTTGCTGCTCCTGGAGTTTCATCAAGGTCAGGTTGTGCCACAAGAGCTGCCAGTTCACTATTTGAGTAACCACACTCCCATTTAAGAAATAATTCATGGAGTAAGTGTGACTCCAGCAGCTGAAACCGGAGACAAAGGAAATATCTCAGATTCCAACTCAGCTGAGCCTCTTGTTAAGCCACATGCATTTAGCCCTTGAATGACCATGTGAAGCTCCTGTTGATATTATTGAAAACCTACAGAGAGACCTGTGAGGGATGTGTAATTCTGAGGAGGCATCTTTTCAGTTTGTCTTCCAAGCACTTCAGCTAGTTGGAGCAGCATAGCCTTTCTGAAGAGAGAAAGATAAAAACCTGCTGAATTGCTCTTTGCTATATATGACATGCATTGTATCTCCTTAAGTTCCACAGAATATATAAAGTCTTCAGTTGGAAGCACTGTGCTGTTCTGGTTTGGGACCTTCCACTGTTAATCCTGTAAAGCCAATTCGTTACACAAACTGATTTTAGCAGGCTACGAGCCTGTTGTCCTAGTCTCTATTCACGGCAATTGAACAGGGGATAGATAGCAAATCAGTTGCTACCTTGTGTACTAAGTCCCATGCAATCAAGAACAACACCTTCTTATGCTTGGCACTGTATAAACAAGTAAAACAAGAACAATCCTGACCTAATGCATTCAGTTTGTACCCAGGCACTCAGGGCAGTTATCTCTCCACTACAGCCTTTATCCTGGACCTTGTGTTAGCAGTCAACAGGCTCATCTCAAAATATCTGCATTTAACTGTCACGATGCAAAATCCATACCACTGATTTGCAAGAACAATAGTGCTCTAGCATCAGTGAAGAGAGGCATTTTTCTTTAGGCTGCTCCATTTTGAAGTTTGCATGAATTGACATGAAATCAACACTGGCTTTTGCCATTTAACACTGGGCTCTGCCTCTCAAGAGTCCAGGAAACATCATTACAGAGTGGTCCAGTTCTCAGCAGGGAGTATAGATGCTTTGGTGTGTTCAGAGACAAAAAGCTTGTTTAATGGGACTGCTGTTCATAGGATCACACTTGGAAGAAAATGTGCTCGATTAGCACATGTTCAGCTTGGCTTTTCAGGCTTGTGCTGTGTATTTGTTTTTATCTCAAGGAAAGAAAATGTCTGATTCTTTTCTCGGTCACTCCAGTGTAGATCAGCATTAACTCCCCTGAACTCCATGGAGTGAAACTGTAGACAAGAGAAATGGCTCGCCTAGGGAGAGAGAAAATTTGTCATCTTGCAATTCTGCTCCATAGGTGTTTCTGCTGTTCCAGATGTCTTGAACAAAGCCCCTGGTGGTATGTAATTTAAATCCAATTGTACTTAAGTAAGGTCTGATATAACATTCTCTTCTCCCTTTGCTAGCTCATGACATGAGCCCAAGTTGCTTTCTGTCAAGGGCCCCACAAGCACTTACAGTAAATGGCTGGATCAAAAAAACCCAGCAACAACAACAACAAAGCAAACCCACATGCCAACTCGCACATTCTATTAAAGACAAATTATATTAAAAAGTAAGAAGCAAACACTTCAGCAGGGACTTAAAAGACTAAAAGCTGCAGCCTGCATTTTCCTCTGACTCATGTTGCTGATTGGCTGTTACCAGTATTGAAGGCTTGATTCTGCAAGTCCTCTGCAGGCTGAACTCTCAGTGGAACCAAGTGACTGCTGCTAACATGGATCACAGTCGTGTTGTTACTTTCTGATTCCCACCGTTTATTAGGGCTGTGTGAAATTTCACCGGCCATTTTGTTTTAACACAGTTTTGACTCATTTTGAGCTCAAAACGGTGAAATCAAAATGAAACTAAGGGCTTCAAAACAGCCTCAAAACGAGGCTAGTTGAAACGTTTCAAAAGCTTTGAAACATTTCAAGTTTCAAAGCAGCTGACAGCCTGGTGCTGGGAGACAGGGGAGAACCAGGGCTGCGCTCCCAGCACCTCCAGGCTCAGCCAGGTGGGGAACGCAGACCTGGCTCTCCCTGCCTCCTGCGGCTGGGGTGCAGGAAGCCAATCACAGCACAGAGGAATCACAGCAATGCAATTGAGCTGGAGAAGGGAACTGAGCCGGATCACTCAGTTTCTCTCCCCAGCCTTACGATTGGGCTGGGGAAGGAAACTCAGCCCAGCTGGGCTGAATTCCCAAGCCCAGCCTGATGGTTATGCTAGGGAGGGAAACTCAGCCCAGCTGGGTTGAGTTTGTTTTCCCAGCCTGATCTAGTGCTGGGGCTGGGAAATCAGCCCAGTTGGGCTGACTTCTCATCCCCAGCTCGACCTAACGCTGGGGAGGGGAACTGAGCAATTGGGTTCAGTTGTCTTCCTCAGTCCCAGGCAGCAGCACAGGCTTCCCTACCTCATCTGGCAGGCAGATCAGGGCCCTCAGCCCCAGTAGGACTTGCACAGCCAGCACAGCCCCCTGGGGTTTGGGCCCCGATCTGCCTGCTAGATGAGAGAGGCTGTTTTGAGCTTCCCCATTATAGCGAATGGGCAAAATGTCAAAACAGTGTTGAAATAGCCTCACTGTTTCAATGAAGTGAAAAGTAACAGCTGTTTCGAACCGAAATGAAATTCAGAACAAAATGCTGTTCCATTGAAACATCAAAACTCAAGTCAAAACAGAACAGTGCCATTTCGCACAGCCCTACCGTTTATCTTTTGTCTTCTAGTGAGCTTAGCATAGCAGAAACCTCTAGGTATTATGGCAATGCAAATCATTAATAATAATAATAATAAGGTCCAAAAGAAGTCCCAGTGGCAAAAGATGATACTAACTGGTCCATCGGGGGTTGTATCTTTGCTCTGACCATAACTGGCTGCAGGTGCTTCATACAAAGGTGTTAAAATGGTCCTCATGGGCAGTTAATTCAAGAACATGCTTAATAGGCTCAAAAAAATACGGAGTTACAACTTCATGCTACCCTGTGTCCTAGTCAGACCATCTGGGAAGTACATAATTTCTCTTGCAAACATTAGGAACATATCCTTTGCTTCACACACAACCAACCGTGCAAAAAAGAAAAGCACTATGCTTGTTTATGTTCAGAGCCTGAAGTTTTACATTTTCCAAATCTGGGTCACTGACCAGACATATTAGCATAGCTATTGTTCTGCCTCCATCTTCCCCCACTGCTGCTTAATGCCTCCATGTTAAGTAGCCATCCAAGACAACCATGCAGGTAGACACTTAGGGATGTCAGTGGAGGTCTGTGCAGGGCCATGTGTCTATCTGTGTGCACACTCTTGGACTATAAACTTCTTAGGTCTTGACACTGATAGCATAACTGGGGGCTGGTATCACGATTGCCTGCTCAAGTGTCAGTTTAGAGGGCACACAAAAATAGTTTATTATATTTTTTCTTACACACTTAATTACTAGTTTGAGGCCTGGTAAAACACTACTCAGAATTGATAATATGCTTCCAAGAGCTTGTGTGTGGCATATACATAGCTCTGTGCTTGACTACCTTATCTCATGGAGAGGTGAGATACAATAATCTGGACACCCTCCTTCCTTTGCTATTCCCCACCCCATCCATTGTGGCTACCTGTTAGCGTGCACTACTTGGGAAGCTATCCTTATCTTCAGCTCATGACAAAGTTTGTCATTGGAGGTTGGAGAACTACAATTGTGACTTTCCTGGCCTTTGCACAATTAGAATCTGCCCCCTTTGCATGCTTATGATGTGTCCCTGAATGATTGAAAATACCTCTTTTGCACACACGTAGCCTCCTTCTCATGCCAAGTGATGCCTCCTTCCATTAAGTGGCCGTGTTTGTTTAAATAGGAGTTCTGGTGGAGCAAGATATTATACACCATCAATGAATGTACTAGAACCTGACCTAAGTTTTTAGCTGTAAAAGTAACTGTCTCCTCCCATGATCCCTCTGCCTCTGAAGGAGAGAAGCTGTTTTCTTCCCACAAAACATTGCTGCCACCACTCCGCCAAGACAGTGCTGCAGCGGACGCCTGTTGCACAATTCACATCATGCATCCCTTATTCTCTTTGCCACTTGATACTGCATCTCAATCAACTTTGTCTCTGTTGCAGGCAGTCTGTGGCCCAACTGATACCTTTAGCCTAAGGCCATATCTGATTTTTTTTTTTTAGGCTGGAGACTAAGCGTTCATCAGAAAATGAATGACATTGATACAAAATGAGCATAGGATCTCTTCTGTTTTTTAATTCAATTAACAGTGCAATCATGACGAACAGCCCCCTGGTTATGTAGACTGAGTAAAGTCATTAAGATCTCAGGTTACATGTAGTGTTATTTCCCCTTATTCTCCCTTTCTCTGCCCCCAGCAATCATGGCACTTTCCAACCTATCACAATGCAAAATGAAACAAAATCACCAGGGGTTAAAAAAAGTCTAAATTGGATTACACTCACACTGTTCAGAAAATGGAGTATTGCTGGTAATTGCATTCCAGTGAATAAATATCCCTACATTAGTTCACATCGCATCAGTATTCCAACAATGATTATTTTCATTGTAATTTGCCTGTCCGGGAATAAATGTAACAGAGCATATATCCAAACAAGTGATGTATTCTCAGCATTGATGTTTGTTTTAAAGATTAAACCAAGTCCTGGTTGATGCATTAATAAAATGTTAGATAAAAAAGGCCTTCTTTCAATAATGCTCGAGAGTTAACAGCCAAATCTCAAGCCCCAACCTTGTTTCCGTCCAAGTCAATGGAAGTTCTGCCATTTATTTTGTGGATTCAGGGCACTTGGAATTTAGTCTTATTTTTATTGCAGCACCTCTAAAATGTGTTAAGCTCCTTCCAAATGCCTGGAGACAGGTTGAGATATCTTCACTCATGTTGGATATTATTTAATTCCATTTTCTGCAAGGTGACTATAACAGTTCTTAAGTTAACTATGCTTCTAACCCTTTTGTAGGTTCTTCAGGGGCATCTCACTCAGGGTTTAGTCCTCTAGCCATGCCTCTTCTTGGTGCAGGAACACACACTCTCCCCCACCTGACTGGGACCTTCATAGATTTCATAGACATTAGGGCTGGAAGGGACCTTGGAAGATCATCAAGTCCAGCCCCCTGCCCTTGAGTTGCGGTCCCCTTGTAGTTCACTGTGATTATCCGGCAGATAATCAGGACCTGCCATTCATGTGTCTCTCTGGGACAATGGCAGTAAATCCATGATCAGAGAGCTTTCACAAAATAGGGCTTCCTGAACAAGGTGAAGCCAATTTATGCTGTCCCCATCCCCCGAGAAGCTTCAAAGGGCTAAGCATCTGCACAACCAGCATTGGATGTTGGCATTAATTCTCTCCTTGGTGATTCCAGATGCCAGAGGAATGCTCCTACTTTCCTACTTGGGTAAAAACACAACACTACAACCTAGACTTACTGATTAAGTAGTCTCTGAACATCCTATGTCCTAGCATTTGCCACATGTCAGTATACTCTAGCCTTTGAAATATCCTTTTTTCCATAAGAGCCTCTCTGTCAAGGTTACATCTTATGGGAATATTTAATATGAACAAATGTATTGTAAGCTGCCCTTTAGGAAGACATAAGGCCAGATTCTATTCTTCCTATTGGGCATCAGTGGACTTACACACCTACTTGTGATTCTATTCCACCCTGCTCACATGCCTTTAAATCCATCCATTCATCAACTTTTAACACACCATCATTTGGCCCATAAGATTGTGTCACAAAACACAAGAAGGACCCCACAGCCATCTTTTGCATTAACCGTTTTTTAGGGACATGAGCAGGATAGAAATAAAATGGCACATAGGTGCTTAAGTCAAGTTACACTGCTAATACACGGAATAGAATCTGGCCCATGTTGAATGCCCTGAAAACCTTATAAAATAAATATTCAAAGCCAGAAAGGGTGGGAGAAAGTGATACAACTGAAAAGCAAAGACACTAGGTTGACAGTAGGGCCATCTCTAATTTTAATTACAGGTTTATCTGTATAAACTTCCAGAAACAGATGACTTGAGCACCATGTTTGAAGTCTGTTGAAACCCAGTGAGCCCTTGTTACACGTTTCCCTGTTCACTGCCACCATGTACCCTAGACCCCACGCTTCTGTATGTAAACCAAGCAGCGATGTTTGCCTCAACAGTTTACCATGAGCAGCATCTCAGTTTTATGTCACAAGTGGCAGAGCTTGGGAAAACACTGCCGTTTGCTTACTTCAAGAGAAGGCTGTCCAGAAGCAAGGAAGATCAACATCCAGGTGGGGTGGCTGCTGTCTGCAGCATCACTCCTTCATCACCAAATGCTTCAGGGGTTATCCATGTGTATTGCTTTTGCTCCGGCTGTTCATACGAACCTCCTGAGGATGGCCCGGGGTAGCCGCAAGTGACCACAACATGGAACCACGTTGGAGGATCTTCACAGGCGCTGCACACCAGCACATCTCTGAAAGTGTGATCCACTCCCAGAACCATTGTGGATCTGGAAGAAGAAACTTCTTTTCATTTCACTGAAGGTGAGGAACCCTCCTTATGCCCCCTGACAAAACCATTCCATTCCCATTGAAATTATATAGAAATGAGCCCATTGACTTCACAGGGAGTTGGATCAAGCTTCCTGTGATCAAGGACAATATGGCACTAATACGTCATGCACTATAATGGTGAGATTTAATGATGTTGGACGGCAGTTTACTGAAACGAACTTTAGGTAATGACCCAAGACACAACAGTTTGGAAGCAAGGGAAGAGAAAAAGGAAACCAAGCATACCATGCAGTAGATGAATTTAACAATAGCTAGTATACTTGCATCTGACATCAGTGTCTTGGCTCAGTAGCCAGGGATATCATAAAATCGCCATGTACAATTAGGCACAATCTGCGATCTGTATTTCATTTGAAAGCCAGAACTAACACACCATGGTTACTACATTTATTCTCGAGCTAGAGAGAGCATGGTCTTTCCAAGTCACGGTTGAAGCTGCTGTCTTGTGATGGGAAAAATCTTCTGTTTTCTGACTAATTTTTATAATGTTCCCTGCACCGAGTAAATTAGTTAGATTTACTTTACTTATGGCATTAGCTTTGGGGGAAAGACACAAAACAAAAGAATAAAAAAAATTATACATGCAGAAAAATGCATAACATGGGAGCTAAAGCTATAAATCCGATCACCCTGCATATCTGGACATGTTTGTTTGTATTCATTGAGGGGAAAAAATGAAATAAATCACGTTTTCAATTGATCTCCCCATGGTAGCTGTTTTTGCTATATGCAGGAAGGGAAGAGAGGATTTTCAGGGTTATATATTTTTTCATTTTAGTTACAAATGTTAAATTTTGCATCTGACTTTTGTACCACAGTTAGTTAAAAAAAGAACAAAACACAAAACAAAACCAATAAAACCCCATCGTTGTTAAACAAAAAAAAAAAAAAAAACAAAAAAAAAAACCAAAAGCTCCGCCTCGTTTTTAAAAAAAAAAAAAAAAAAAAATCACATGCCACTCTCTGATCCCACTTTAAGCACAATGTGCTCAAAGCACCCTTGCTCTATTTGGCCAAAGAAAGAGCAGTAATCCATGCACTGGTCTTTGCTTTTAAGCCAAATCTAAGAAACAAAAAACCTTAATCTTAGCAACAACAGGATTTGGCATTTTCAACCAGGAGCTTTTAACAGAAAAACCTTTTTTGGAAAAGTTAAAACCTCAGCAACCAACTTTTCAAAGCCTCTTTTGTGGAAGGAATGAGAGCTTTGCTTCAGGAAAGGTGGAGGAGCCCAAACACGTTCTGCATTCAGCCGCTCCATTCAAATGGAAGGTAGGTCATCTCCCAGGGAAGAGTTTTGCATTGCTCTTCCTCACTAGCACCAACCACAACAGCAGACAAAGGGACTTTATTTACTACAGGCCAGGTTCTGTCGCTGGAGCAATTCCTTCATCCACATGGAGGCTTAATAAGACTACTAAGTAAAGCGCGAAGAACCTGACCTGTAAGCTTTTTATTAAATGTGGATTTATATAACTTCCTTTTCACTCAGGCTTTATGTAAAATTATTAAAGCCGTACACAGAGGGTGACATTCACCCATTTGCAGGGCTCTGCATTCAGATGAGCCAGGTCTCTGCAGGTCTGGAAAGACTCCCTGCCTCATGAGGCTGCAGGCTTGAGAAGGTTTCTGTCCAGAAAATCATTTCCCACCCCCACCTCAAGATCTATGAGTCAACCATAATTTGATGAAAACATGGGAAATCTCAGAGTATATCACCTTTCCTGTGACTTCTGATGCGAGAGAAAACAAAAGGAGCCCTAGATTTTGCTTGGCTCTTAATGGAAAAGCCTGACGGAGACCTCAGGATCTAGTAGATGTTATTAACAAGCAGATCTATGATGTCCAATGAGATATAAAGCTATTTTCATGACTTGGCTTACTGTGCTGGAAGTCCCCAAATGGCAGCTTTTCTCTACCATCTTAGTTTTAAAAAAATAAAATAAAAGTGAAACCAACCCTAACCTGGCAGTGAACCTGTTCTGTGTCCTGGGTAAATGGAGTAAAAGTGAAATGTAAAAAAGTAAATACCAAACTGAATGCTATTAAAATACTTTAGACAGCAAAATGTCACTGAGTTTCATTAATCATCCAGAGTGTTTCCCAGGACACAGGGATGGGTGTTGCTTTTGAACACCGGAGGTTAAATTCTTTTCTCATTTACACTGTTGCAACCAGATTGTTGCCTATGGCATTTTATCTTGACAAAGGGACTTTCGGTTGGATTTCATTGTTAGGCTTTTGTACTGGGAGTCAGTGTAAAGAGCTCAGACTGTGGGAAAAGCTCATCTCCCCTGACCTTTCCCCTACTAGAAGTTAGAAAAGGAGAACATGCATTAGAATTAGACCTTGCAGTCAATGAATTAACGGAAGTGTATAAAGCCTGCTCCATGTCCCATTAAGGTGCATGGGAAGTTTTCCCTTGACTGTTATGGGAACTGGACTAATCTCATTCCATAACCCTGTCTGGAGGGTGTATCCATGTTAAAATGATAGTCTGCATCTTTCTGGAATAAGTGTCTTATCGGTCCTGTTGAAATAAAGATGGCTTTGTACGGAAATCATTTTGCAGGAATTAGACGCAGCTGTGATATGGGCAGGTTGGTGCAAGGACTTACTACACCGAGCATTTTGTTCCTCTCATGCCCTGGCCTTGCTGCCTTCCAAATATAAAGAGCTCTTTTTTTTTCCCCCTGCAAATTATTTCTCTTCACCCCACAGCCTTGCTCGTGCTGTTCTCTCCCTCATGTGGAACAGTAAAACACTTAAATCTTCATGAAACGGCACACTGCTGCGCAGACCGAGCAACGGAACAGGATGTGGTGGGAAGATGACAACTTCAGCGTAGAGAGGGACTGCTCGCAATTAAATGCTGTCTGTCAGCATGAGCATCGAGCCCAGTCTGGAGAGCAGGGCAGCACTTTCCCATTCGCTGCATTGCAAATTGGGAGGAAGAGGCATTAAAACAGTTTCATCGAGTGCAGCCAAGTTGAAACAAGCACAGAGCCCTGCCCCCCATGCCTCTCTCTACTAAGCTGTGACAGCCTGTGGAGGAGGATGAACTGGAATGGCTAGGGGGCTTCCCTGAAGCTGCTGATGTGGTAGTGTCAGATTTCTGTCTGGCAGACAGCCCAAAAAAGAAAAGAAAAAAAAAATATATATATATATATGAGAGAGAAATGAATGATAGCATCTCACTCACTCTCCTGTCCCCTTTCCCCAGTTGGAATCAACTCACTTCGCCAGGCAGAAGAACATCTGTCGACAGAGCAGAGAACGTGTACAGCTGTCAGTTCTAACAGGTATTACAATCATTATTATGAGCGTACACATCATTATCTGCAGCGTATTTTACACACCCGTTCCTGCAGAGCCATCCAGCAGGCCAGCGGCTTCCTCTACAGTCGATTCTACCAGGGAGATGATTTTCATCTAACAAGTGCAAAGGGTAGGAAAAATATCCATCTGCTCCCATTGCTGCTTCCTGAAGCGCAAGCTGCAAGAGTTCACTGCAAGGAGGGGATAATAGAGTTGCTCGCTTGAGCAGGGGCGAGGGGGAGCCTACTACCATCTCCCTCCTCCTATGCCCTGTTTAAAGGGATGGTAATGGTTTAACACAGGAACCATAGTGCAAGGGGTCGTTTCACAAAACAAGCTAATTGTCTCCAGACTCCAGTTTAGCTGAGGTAGGAAATCCTTATTAGTAGCAGTAACAAATAAATCCGCACAAGTGACTTCAGTGCCTTGTCCTTGTTAGTCACCTGCAGCATCCTACAGTTTGGCAGTATGGCTGTTGAGCTGCAGCCCAGACACATGCCTCGGGGGAATGTCTTTGCCCACGTATTGAGGTCACTCACCATGATCACGTACTTCTAGAGCTGTGCCTGAATGAAGAGACAAAGGCCTGTCTGAACACGGTGGAAAGTAATCGACAGATCTCTAGAACAGGCTGTCCATCTGTGGACCGTGGTATTTGAGCACCGCACCATCTTTATAGATCCTCACGCCTCTGTGCAGAAGGGAAGTATTAGAGAGGGAAGTAGATGCAAAAGCCTATATCTTCAAAGACACGTATCTGCTTCTTTAAACTTTCAAATCCATCATTTTGACACCACGTATTTTCTCAAAACTACCACTCAGGCTGCTTGTAAACCACATGAACCTGAGTTTCTACTAGTAGACATCTGCAAAGCCACCAAAGTGCTGATACCAGCCAGCAGCTAACAAGCCAGTTGGAGCCCGAGCTCAAGGCTGATGCCCTGGAGCAGACTCTCAGACTAGGTTTTCCCACACCTACTTTTCCAGCAGAGCCTGCTCTGTAGATGTGCTCACGGCACTCCTGAACCAGAGGCTCCCTAGCTGGCTTTGTTTGTCCCTCCATACCCTAAATGTTAAGGCACATGGATCCAAGCACCTGATCCACAGTCTCACTCTCATACACCAGATAAATGCTCTAAAGCCTCATGCCTGATATCAGGTCTTCTGGGTTTGTGTATGCATGTGCATGCTTGTACAGAAAAAAATGGGCTTAAGCACTCAGTCCAAGAGATGGTACATGGCTGAGGATGCTGAGGAGAAGAGAGCACCAGCCTGGTCAGAAACAGGAGTCTTTAATCCTTACCCCTTTCCTCTGCATTTCATTCTTGGCTGTTTTTAGCTGCTCCCCATTCAGCTGGGGAGCTCCCTTCTCTAACCACCCTTTCTTTGGATGCTTAACTCTCCCCATGTATCCTATGAGGAGCCTGGATATGCACTTCAGGGCAGGTGGCAGCTAAGCAGGGTTTCTGAAGATCTAAATCAGAGGTCAGCAATGTTTTTGGGCAGAGTGCCAAAAACACCTGGAACCTCGACTTGGAAGATGCTGGCGTATCAGGGGCAAATGGTGGAGGAGCCATGAGGTGCCCAATCCTTGTTGTGGCAGTGCAGCCCTGGCCCTTTCCCCGCCGCCATCTGCCCCGAGGTATGTAGTTTCATAGTTTCTAGGGTCGGAAGGGACCTAAGTAGATCATCTAATCCGACCCCCTGCCATGGCAGGAAAGAGTACTGGGGTCAAACGACTCCAGCAAGGTGTTCATCTAACCTCCCCTTAAAGACCCCCACGGTAGGAGCCTGCACCACTTCTCTTGGAAGCTGGTTCCAGACCCTAGCCACCCTGACCGTGAAGTAGCGCCTCCTGATATCTAGCCTAAATCTACCCTCTGCTAGCTTGTGGCCGTTATTCCTGGTCACTCCTGGCAGTGCTCGGGGGAACAGGGACTCCCCCAGTGCCTGCTGGTCCCCTCTGACTAGTTTGTAACAGGCCACTAGATCCCCCCTCAGCCTTCTCCTGTGGAGGCTGAACAGGTTCAGGTCCCGTA